GCACCTTTGTCATTAGAATGGTCTTCAGCAAGGTCTTGGGATGAAAGGAGGAGTAAAGGTACGTGAGAAATTCAGAAAAAAAAGATTGCAAGAAAGAAAATAGGTTGCTACATAGTGACTACATGGCCACAACTGATGATCACAGGTTTTCAGTATTTTGTATTTAAAAACACTTTAAACGTCTATCTTTAGAATATTTGGATTAAACAGTTCCTCTGTGATGAAGAAAATATCTTGTCTAGCTTATCTTGTTTGATAAGAGGCAGGCAAGTGAGGAATTCTTCCACAGAAGTCTCTCCACCTCTAGTGAGATGTGGCAAACTGGACGTCCCAGTAACATTATTCCATTTTATATTCTAAGATTTGATTCTGACAAAATCGTGTTTGAAATTCCCTGGTTGCTGCTGATGCCTACCGGAGATTTATTTAAGCAGCTCTGGCGAGGTGAGCAGAGCTTATGCCAACGCCTGGTCTGAGAGCAGGGCATGCCCAGCAGCAGTGAACTACGTGGTAGTGGGATGTGACATCCTGTACACGATGGTTCTTCTGAAGCAGAGCACCAACAAATCCTGAATGTGCTTTTGTTGGGAGGCAAACCGCAGCAGGCGCTGACATAGAAGATGCTGCACATGCTTGTGTTACTCAGATGCAGAGGGCCTCTTCATGTTCCTGTTTAAGTTACTACAAAATTAGTGACAGGAGCCCATGCTCAACAGTTCTAAGAAACAATCTTTCTTTATTGCTTTGGTTTGCACCCACTAGAGTACATTCACATCAAGGACACATTGAAGCTAGTTGAAAACTATCAATTTTTTTTCTTTGCAATGTGTGATCTGAAAGAAGAAGATAACCCTAAAGCCTTGTGTGTAGTTATCTGCCTCGAGCAGATCTTACAAGAACATCAGATATCACGAGATAAGCTGAAGCATTTTTTATAAAAACACAAACGCTTTTCTGCTCAGAAGTTATCGGTATAATCATTAGACTGCCATGACTCAGACCTCCAGTAGTCATGAGATTTGCTTAGATTGTGGAGATAAAAGGAAAAAGAAGAGAAAATATAAAAAAAGCTAAGCAGAATCATCCACCACCTCCACCTTCGGTCTGACACCGATACCCAGTACGGGTTTGGCTGGGAAAGCCCCGAACACAGCCATACGTAGGGGCGTCTTCAGAGGATTCCTAAGGACCCGGGGACCAGCAGCGAGAGCCGCCCCGGCACCGCACACAGACGCGCTGCTGGGCTCACAGCGCTGCAGCCGCGTTTGGGCCCAGCCCTGAGGTGACACGGAGCGCCGCGGCGGCCGGCTGCGGAAAGAGGAACGTCGCTTCCAGGGTGGCTCCGGGGCAGCGGCAGCGGAGGGGCGGCCCTCAGGCTCCCGCCAGCTGAGCGCCTCGGAGCGAGCGGCGGCAGCCGGCGCCCCGCCGGGAGGGGGCCGCGCTCCACGACGCACCGCGGTACACGGCCGCGCTTCCACGTCACGTAGAGCCGCGCACAGCCGCGGCGCGATACGGGGACACCTGGGAGCCGCGGGCCCGGCCCCTCCGCGCCCCACTCAGCACACGGGGAGCGGGCACGGCCCCGCTACCGCCGACCGCCCGCCCGGCGCGGAGGCGTCACCGCCCGCCTGAACCGGAACCGCTTAGCGGAGGCCGCCCGGGGCGGCTGCTGCTGCTGCTGCTGCGGGGACTGCGGGGCGGCCGCGTGGGTGCGCGCGCGCGCGTGGAGCGGGGCCCGCGGCTGCGCGGGGGCGGAGGAGGAGCGCGGCGGCCCCGCCGCCGGCGATGGGGCTGAGCCTCGGCCGGCCCTGCGCCGCCCGCCCGCGCCGCGCTCCGTAGCTGCCGCAGCCCTCGCCGGCGTACGGCCGCGCCGCGGGGCCGCCGCCGCGGATGAGCCAACGCCGGGATCCTCCGGGGAGCGCAGCCGCAGGGCGCCGCAGCCGCCGCCTCTCCCCCTCGTCCGCTCCGCTGCCCATGGCCGCCCGTCGGCCCCGCTGAACGGCCGCCCCTCGCCTCCTCCCCGCCGGGCCGGGCCGAGAAGATGGGGAACACCACCTCCTGCTGCGTCTCGTCCAGCCCCAAGCTGCGCCGGAATGCCCACTCCCGGCTGGAGTCCTACCGCCCCGAGGCCGACCTGAGCCGGGAGGACACCGGCTGCAACCTGCAGCACATCAGCGACAGGGAGAACATCGACGGTGAGGGCAGGCGGCAGCTCCCACCCTCTCTCCCACCCGCTCTCCCTCTCTGCCTCCCTCTCTGCCTCTCTCCCTCCCCGCGGTGGGCGCCCCTTCCTTCCCCCGGGGCGCTGCGGACGGCAGCGCGGCCCCTCCGCATCTCCGCGGGGCGCAGCTCTCCCTGCCTGCCCCGGTGCCGTGAGACGGCAGTATTTGCGCTCGTTATTCGTGCTCCTTATTCCTTACGCTCGCTGTTATCTTTACACGCCGTAGAGGCCCGGCTGACTCCAACGTCTCGCAGCCGGATCGGGGCCCAGAGCAGCGCTCCTGGCAGGCAGCTCACGTCACCTGCCGGGCGGTCACCTGCCTGAGCGCCGCAGGGTCGGGGCTGGAAGGACGATCCTGCTCGGAGCGCTGCTCCCCGGCCTCCTGCCCGCTGCCCGTGCTCCCGCCGTGGGGCACCGCTGCGAGGAGCCGCCGGGACTTTCTTTCTCCCTCTTTTCCTCTGCGGTGATGCTCAGAAGCACCGCGTTCCCATTGGTTCAGGGATGACGGAATGTGCTGTTCTTTTGGCTTATCGGAGCTCAGCTTGATGTTAAAGATGCGGCTTAATGTATACGTTCGATTTAGTTTTTGATTAGCCGAAGTGTGTAGCCCTTAAACTTTGCTTGGTGAGAGGTCAGTGATGTCAGGGGTTCGTTTCCATGGATTGCCTTGGTCTCCAGCCAGAAGGAGCTCCTGCTGTGCCTCACTTCGCCTTCACATTTTTCTCATAGCTTATGTGGCTGTGATTTTATCACAGTTTTGTGTTAAGTCATTTCTTGGCACTGGCCAAGTGATGATGGATTCCCTCGCTGGTTGAGATTATTTCTTTTAATTTCTGCACGTTTTTCAGATGTCTTTGCTACATGCAGCTGAAAATTGGGAGTGTAATGGGGATTGGAGATGGAAAAAATACATAATGGTCTGAGGAAGCCAGAGAGATGAAAGAACCAATTGTTGATCATGAATGATGAATTCTTCCAGCACAGGGCTGTCCAGCACAGCAGTGTGTGTCTCTGCCTGGTGGTGTGGGGTTCTGCTTTGGTACCACCGGCTCCTGCAAGCTGTAGTCAGATCAGCGTGGGTTTGTGCTGTGTTCTTGATGTGGTTTTGTCTTGGTGGGAAGAAGGGCAGAGGGGGAAAATAGTAAGTGCATGTGTGCCTGCTTTCAAGATGGTAACTTTTCGTATCTTAGTAATTATGGCAAAATAACAATTTTTACAGGTTGTTTCACTTGTTGGATCAGAGACCATGTCTGCCATCTCTCTTCTTTAAGCTGTGGTATGAAATTTTTTACTGATGGAATGGTGAGGCCCTGGCACTGCTGCCCAGAGAGGCTGTGGGTACCCCATCCCGAGGCCAGGTTGGATGGAGCCCTGGGCAGCCTGAGATGCTGGGTGGGAACCCTGCCCATGACAGTGGGTCGGAATGGGTTGAAAGGTCCCTTCTAACCCAAGCCATTGTATGATTCTACGTTTCAATCCTTGAGTTGTATCCTGATCTAACAAGCTGCCTCTTATAGTATTTATGTGTTTTGTTTCATTGTTGTATCTAGGACATTGTGAAATGCCACGTTTATGGTGGACAAGCCATCCTTAACTATTGACAAGAGTACACAGTTTTGGATTTCATTTGCTGTTATCTTACCCCTCTATATGGATAGAGGCACAAAATGATCAGTTGCTGAGGAGCCTGCTGGCCGCCAGCTGTCAGTACACACAGGCCAAGTAGAGATGCTGTGCTTAGAACAGCTCTTTTGGCATGCACTGTCTGAGGTAACATGGCTCAAGTTAAGGAAAATTCGTTAAACTTTTGTTTTGTTTTGGGTGGGGCAAGCTGCTGGGGTAGGACGAGAACTTGTAAATCCTTTAAGTCACCTGTGAGCTGTTTCCAAGTTGTTAAGAGATGGGTGTTTTTCATTGTTGAAAGCCTCGCTTCAGGCGGTGTGAGAGTGAGAGAGGAAATGAGGGAGGGTGACAGCTCAGAGTGAACACTGGAAATGTTGGTACTGGTGGAAGTGGGACTGTTTGGGGTTTGCCAGTGTTAAATACTCTGTAAAGAAATATTTTTCAAATTTGCCTTGAAGAACATGCCTTTAAATTGCCCTTCATATGGTTCAACTATGATTCCCAATTCAGTAGCAGTTGTTTGAAGAATGCTGGGAGAAATCCCACGTCCTTAGTGGTGGGTTTTAGCAAGGTAAGATCTCTGTGCCAGTAGTGCCTTGTCAGATGTTCTCCATTCTATAATACTTCACAGCTGTTGTGAGGTGATATCTGAAGGAGAAGGGAATGTTGAAAGAGTTTGAATTTAACAAGTGACTTATTCCAGAGAATAGTAATGGTGGGTTTCTCTCTATTGGAGTTTGAGTGGTTTGATTTTATTATTTTTTTTGGTCCTAAAAATGTTTAAGAAGTAAACTAACTGACTTAAGTCTCCACAAATGCATAGCTGGCTCTCTTAATATTGTGTACTTACTGGGATGCTTTTTTTGTACAGAATACCCAACAGATTTTGATCTTTCTTTTAGTAAACAGTGCAGGTGGAAAACTGTAACATACAGTTCAGAGGTTACCCTCTCTTGATTACTGTCTCTTTTTGATGATTTATTGCTAAGGGGGAGCTGTGTTATTCTTCAGTGCTTCACATTTAAAAAGTTGCTTCAAGAAAATTCTGGCAGTAAACTTAAGATTCCTAGCTCTGCCCTTTAGCCAACAAGGCATAAGGAGCTGTGGGAAAAGGACAAAGTTTTATCACAAGTGAGATGGCATGAAGCAAAGCTGCTACCTCACAATTGAAGCATCCAAAAGGCTGCTCTTGACATACAGACTGGATAGAGAGCTTCTAGGCCTCTCAAAGAGAAGTTTGTTAATGGTTAATCCCTTCCCCTGTTTCTTTGTTCCCTCCCCCCCCCAAAAAACATGATTTTTTTTCCTCTTTGTAAACTGCTCATGTTGCTAGGTCATTTGTCATTGCTAGCTCAGATAGTGTCATCCTGTGTGACTCTGCACTGCTGATAGCCCTGCTCAGCCCTTCTCATCATGTGCCAGTCATGGTAATTTTTCCTGCATACTGCAGACTCCAAGGACTGGCCTGCTTTTTAAAAGCCCTTTATTTGTTCATATGCATATTTTTCTTCACTTTTTTGGAAGTGGTCTATGGGAATCCCTGGAATTAGATTAGTTAGTATTTGCATATCTCTGTTTGCTGAGTTTTAAAAGTAATGAGATTTTAGCAAAATACAGGCGAGTTTTAATATCCCTCAAGTTTGCTGGAAGGGAATTCCTTCACAGAGGTGACAGTGTGCTTTTCAGTAGTGTGGTTTGCACTCACCAGAGGTCATATACTGCTATATATGCATATATGCAATTATAGTACTGTGCATTAAAAAATCTAGTGCATTAAAAAGTTAGAAGTAGAGCCTGCTGTAGCCTACATCACCAAACGTAGTCCTGTGCCACATGCTGCTGGTGATGCGTATCTCATAGCTTGCTTTTTTTACTTCCACTTTCATCTTCATTTATCGTGGTGTTCCCAGCTCCTCAAGAAAAGGAAGCCATCATGTACAATGCTTTCATAAAACCTCACGTCCACATTTTGAATCAGTTAACTTACACCCCTTATGAGATGAGTATTTTACTATTAGCTGTAGAAAGTTTCAGATGCACATATGCTAAGGCTCATAATATTTGAACTTACTCCTAATCAGTGTTATCAATGCACTGCCGTCTGATGAAGGCTTACTTTGAAAGTGAGCTACAAAAGTCTATCAGTGTTGGCTGAGCAAACTGATACCTGAAGTAGAATGGTATGGCTTAAACTTACACATCTCTGAAAATGTAAGGACTGCTGTATTTTGAGGTTTTTTTTTTCTCCTTAGATTTTGTATGCATTAAGAATAATGTATTAAAAGGAAATGAAAAAGAACCTCTCCACTCTATGGTTATAGCTGTTTTATCTAGTTTTATGTTCTTAGTGAAGGTTTCTTTGCACTTGAAGGGTATATTTACTGCAACTTCAGGCCTTGCTCAAGATTCAGCCTGTCTGACACCCATGTATGGTGGGCCACTGCTTTCTGAAACTCGTAAGATGCTGTTTGCTGAACTAATTAAGCAATTTAGTGTGAATGTTACTTGCTGTCTGCTCCTTGCAGCATAGTGGGAGGTGAAGGGGTACCTGGCCTGTAGTAGCTGTTCATGTCTTGTTGGTCAGCTACAGATCAGTCATAGTCTAAATACCTTCCTTGTGTAATGGCTTTGCAAGAATGTGAAATGCATTTTACAGACTGGAAGTATAAGCAGTAAATAGCCTTTCTCTGAACTTGCAATAGAACCAAATTGAATTACTTTAGCTCTTTAATTTTGCTTTGGACTTGGATAATTGGAGTTTTTAAAATCCTTGTCCATGTGCATTCTGACACATGGGGTGGTCTTTTTACTTCATTTTGCGGAGTATCGAATGAATGTGCCATAAATCTTTGAAATGTATGTGAAGAGACTGTAGATGTTAGTTAGCTTAAAATTTATCCATTTGTTATTTAGGGTAGAATATGTCTACCAGTATCCTTAGATGTTGCATTCACTGCAGTAGTTATCATTTCCTGTGTATCTTCTGTAGCAGTCTTGCCTCATTACAATCCAACTTTAAAAGTAAATAGTCCAGAATAGTTGAAAGGAATGGTTGGGGTATTTTCATATTTCTCAAGATAAAAACATTTTGCAGAAGCTGACCGAAATCCAGAAATGGTTTTATTTAGCTCAGCTTTTTGTTGCCAAGTTTGTAGACTTCGTAGGTCATTGGAACTCCCTCAGCCAGTTGAATCTGAGCATCATTCAAGGAGCCCTTGAAGAAATAGCTTAAACTCAGAGTACTTCTTAACCTGAGCTGGGGAAAGTCTCCTCAGCTGTGCATCCTAGAGGGGAAGAACGTCTGCCCTCGCATCTCTGTGGTGGCATTCTTAATGCAGGAGTCAGCCTTCAACTGCACCTTCATATTTTTCTTCAAAAATGCACACACACACAGCTTTAGGTAAGAAAAGTTGCATCCCAGGCTGTTTGCTTGTTTGTTTCTTAGTCTGCAAAAATGATTCTTACACACCTGTGGCTGAGATCCCAGAGATGTCAGATTGGAAGTGAAACATTTACTTTCAATGGTACATAAATTAATGTTTATATTCTAATAGCTGCTTATTGCACTGATATTTCATCAAATGTGGGAGCAATAAGTTATTCATGAATATAAGCCTGAATGGCTAGAAACTTCTGGTAAGGCCATGGTACACCAAATGTCATGAATGGGGTGGTACAGGCGTCCTATTCTAATTTGGAGTTTTGGACCAAAGTTAGCAAGTTATTGGCATGCTTAAGACGGCTTCTGAGATGCGTTTTATTCCTGCAGATTAGTATTCAGAGAAGGGATACCTTTTTGTTGCTATGTTGTTATTTGTGTTATGACATCTTATCAAATTCTTCTTCATTACTGCTTTTGTTCCTGGAAAGAATGCATTACTTAAAGATATTGAAATAAATAACTGCATGAGAAAGAAAATAGACTGGATCAGCAAATGTGTTTTGAAATACAGGCAAGAAAGTGCAGTATGACAACTTCTTAGGGAGAGGATAATTTGGAAGTTACAAATCTGTGTGAGGCTGTGCATGTGAGATGACTGGTGGTAGTTATGCATCTGTGCTTGTAATTTTATGAATAGTTCCACTTTAAACTTAATTATACTGTAACTTCTCTGTCTTCTTTTCTGCTCTTCTCAATAAAGGAGGTTGCGTTACTTGAAGATCCAAAATCTGGGGGTCGTAACTGGTACTGAACTTAATGGGACATGCTTCCCTGCTTTGGACATGGTTGGGGAGCTCTACAACCACTTAAAACATATCTGAACTGGTTTTTTGAGCTGTGATACTATATAAATTGGTGCATGTTATTGTAAAGACCTTGAAGAAGGTCTTCCAGCATCTGAAATTAATTAGAGCCATTGCCTATTGGGCTGATGTTCAGAGTTTTAGATCTCATCTGTTTTTCTAGTTTGAGCAAAGCTGCCTGTATGTTATGCCATCATACGTTCCGTTTATGTTCAGTGAGCTGTGGTCTCTGCCAGTTGGGCAGCCCCACTTCCTCCTTCTCAGAGAATCCTGTTAAAATAGCGTATGTGACATACAGATCAGAAAAAAAGAGGTGTTAGGAACAAGAACATACAGATAATTCTAATAAATTTTAATTTCTGGTCAGCTGGTCATTTTACTTGCTGAAGAAACACAGCCTCTGGCATGTCCTACACCTGTTAAGAATCAGGATGTTTGTAGTCTATCTCAATAGCTGTTCTGCTTTCTTTTTATTTTTGAGAACTTAGGAGCAGACTGATTTACGTTTTATTGATTAAATGTATGAACCTATGTAACTGAAACCAAACGCAATAAAATTCAGAAGGGTAAATCAGCTATTGCTGAACATTTTATCTGACCATTCAATGCAGTATTTGCTGTGTACTCAGGAAGGAAAAAAAAAAAGCACAAAACAGTTTCAGATCCTATCAGGCAGGATTTTATTTCTAATTTCTAACAGTTTCAACTACAGCTGTAGACAGAACCTTAAACTTCCCAGACCCCCAAGCTCATAAATTTTCTTGAGGCAGATCTTCGTTTAATTTGAAATTCTTTGCTGTTAATGCCTAATTAAAATAGGTAATGCAGTTAACCTTTTGATATAATTGTACAGATACGTGGTTAGAAATTCTAATGTTACTGAATATTAAGTAATAATCAATCATAGATTTACTTTCATTTGAAATGGATATTTCCTGAGGGATTCTGGAATGAAGATAACAGAGCTTTCCTCTGATTAGTGTTTTGATATTTCTTCCTATGTCATTTTATGTAGTAGGTGTTAGAGGTAAGCAGTAGTCAGTCAGATGTTAAAATTACCATTGAGATAAATATCCAGCTTAAGGAGTGAGATGTTTTGCGCATCTCTGCCATAAGCTTGGTGCCCACCCTACCTGACTTCTCCCTGTCCCTGCAGCTCTCAGCAGCACTTCATTCTCCACAGTTTTCTTTGTGACTATTGATACCTGACAGAAATCCACTTGCGTTTTATTCAATCAGTGAATGTAGAAAGAGGATGAATGGTTTGGAGATGCAATTGTATTTTAAGCTTTCAAATTGCACCGCCTGTGGCTAAATGATTTTTTTCCTTTTAGAATAATTCCTTTGTGGTGGTGTCTGGTATTCTGCATTGACAATATTCAGTTATCCTCTCTGTGTCAGACATAGAAGGAAATAGTAATTTGACTGGGCCGTGTGCTTTTTAGCGTTTAGGTAAGAGCAGGATTCCTGTAACTGCAGAGGTTCTGGAAATCCAATCTGTGATAAAAGCAGTGTGCAGTGAGAGAGATCTGACTGGTTTTGTTGTGGAGGAAAACAGACCTTGAAAGACAAAACAAACAAAAAGTCATATAAAATTCCATATATAAGCAGTGATGTAAATTCTGCGTCTAGGAACTTGTTTCCCTTGGCAAAATGTATATTTAAGTGAAAGGGACGTTGCCAAGTTACATTTAACTGGAAGTGAATGCTTTGTGAAAAGTAAGCTCACTACCTCAAGTCACATTTCTTAAAAAAAAGTTATAGTAAACAGTTATTTTTATAACAGTAGTTGAATCATAGTTTATGTAATCCTAACAGTGAAGCATTATCTTACAACATGAGAACCTGAGCTTAAATTGAACAACTGTTCTACATTTTTGCATATCTGATTGTATGGGCTCTTTCTTTATCTTTTTTTCCCCCTTTAATGCATGCTTCGATTTTTTTGAATGCAAATCTGCAGTTCTATAGCTGTGACATGACACATGGATGTGGGCAGTAAAGGGAGGAGAGAAGGTTTTTTGCCTCCTGATTTTGCGTGGGTTACCTCAAAATGGGTTCATATGGGTAATGGTTTATTTGTCCCTCTAGGAAAAACAGTATGCTAACAGCAGCTTAGGCACTGTGACTGTTGAAGCGAGGTGTGATGCAATGCCTGGCAGAAGCCTGCTGCAGGAGGCAGGACGGCTGTGGGCCAGCTGCTGCCCCACGGAGCTGCTGTGTGGCCTGGTCCAGGCAGGCTGTGTGTACTTGGGTCCCACTAACCCTGCAGGCCCAGGGAGCAGTGGGCTGCTCTTTCATAGGGTGCAGGATGACTGTGATGTAACACAGCACAGAATGTGTTCCTGGGCTGTTGTCAAGCTTCAGGAAGCTCAAGAAGTGAAGTTGGCCATCATGACTTCTTTGGAAATACCAACTAGGGTTAGGTAGCAATCTATATTAGGGAGCCTGCTTTGCTGCATTGTTGGACTAGATGGCCTCCAGAGGTCCCTTCCAACCCTACAGCTCTTTGACTGTGATCTTGTGATGTTATTCTTTCTTTTTTATCACGTTGCTGATATAATCTGACACTAGCTTTGATCTGAAAAATACTTGGGTTCAATCACTACCCTCCTTCATCCCTGTAGCTTCAGCTGGGTTGTCTGATTTTTCTGTCCTCTTCCCATCCCATCTTTGTACATCTCCGACAGCTTGCACTGCTTGCCTCCTGCCAGTGCTTCATGGCCTTTTTTACCCAAAACACACAAGTTCCTGCCTCTAATCTCATTGTCTTTTACTTAGCTCCTGTTTTGCTGTGCTTTTCAAGCTGTGAGAAGTGAGCACAGTGTATTCTAGAGTTGGGTTTGTGTGATGATTCCACGATGGCAGTGTAACTTTCAGTGTTGATCTCAGACCCCAGTTTTTAGATTGCCATTTTAACATTTGCTGAGCATTCCTAGTTCCTGCATGTTTTACAGCCAGGCAGATAAGATAATCATTCTTTCAGCTCAACAGAAGTTATCCACACGTAGGTAAGGTGCCTGCATTTCTTCCCTGTGTCTTTGTCCTTAAGGCAGCATTGAGCATGATCTCTTATTTTCATAATTACTTTTGGAAATGTGCACATTGTGATTAATCTGTGTCCTGGTTCTGCAATCTGGGATTACAACTACACTGCAGTGCATGAGTTGTAATTCTTAAAATATGCTATGAAACTGGTTTTTTTTTTTTCTTTCCATATAGTAGTGGAATCCATATACTGCTTCTTTCTTTTAATTTTTTTCTAAATAAGAAGCTGAAAACCGACTCAGTAGTATTAAGATTTACAATTCATGGAAGAAAAAACTGGATAATTACTCTGTCTGTAATTGATGCTCTGCCCATGCTTCGGTGTGTCCAGCTGTATGTAAATCTTCTCTAACTACATATTTTTGCATTTCTTTCCTCATGTAAATGAGAAATCTCCTTGGTTTCTCTTTGGGGATTCAGATCTGATTGATTTGGTATTGCCTAAATGAAAAGCAGGATGTGTTGCTGCAAAAGGCTTTTCCTTCTATTCAGGGAGTGGGAATATGTGAATTCTGAGCTTGAAGTTGATTTGGTGTGCTTCCCATGCGTGGAGCTGGTGAGCGGCTGCTTCTGACTGGATTGCATGGCAAGCAGGGCAGTGAGACAGGAAGAGCTGCAGTGCTGGGTGGCTGTGTGCCCAGCTCTGGGTTCAGCCCAGCACTGTCTTGCAAAGGAACGATTAGCAAAGTTTTCTCCTGCTTGTGGCCCTTGTCTGGCACTCTTTTTCCCTGTGAGCTTCCTTGGCCCATGGCTCTACACGTGAAAGGAAGGAAAGGAACTTTGGAGATCATCTAGTCCAACCCCCTGCTAAAACAGTTTCCCTGGATCAGAAAGGCTTTCCAGCTGTGTTACCTGCATACTCTCTTGTTTTTTGTTTTTTGCTATTTATAGAAATTTCCTGAAACGATCATGAATGTTTCTTGTCTTCTACTTGTGGACCGTGCCATCATTTCCAACAAGCAGCTCCTGCAGCCTAACCAGGCTGTGCTACTCAAACCTATAGGGGTACAGGAGATGTCACATGTGAAGTCAGCACGTTGCTGAATGCTGCTGTAGCTGTATAAACTGACATGTCTTATTTATGCAACAAAAATGAATGGAAGCACATAGATCTTGAGAGACTGTGCTGACCTCCTTGATCCACTGCCAGTTCTTACATAGAATTACTTACTTAAATTCTGCTTTTTTGTTTAGGTAAAATAGTTTTGATGCATGTAAACCAGAAATAAGTTGCTTATAACTTATAACATCAAATAAGAACGTGTGTGTGTAGGTGTGTGTATATCTTCTTATGTAAATTCCCTGGCAGGGGTGAAGCTATGGGTCACCAATACTGTGAAGCTTCAGCAGGGCATGTAAACTGTATACTGGAAGACTATTCCTTATGTTCTTATATCCTTAATGATATTAGAACACCTGAGCTTGTTCTTATCATTCAGTTAAGCTCTTTGATAAGTTCTTTGCTAACCAGGGAATTGTGAGAACAATGCTTGTTAAAATAATTGAGAACATAGAGCTTGTTCCTGCAAGATGCTTAGTATTCAGTTGTCTGTTCACAAACCACTTGCTGAGAGAGAGAGGATATTGCATCTCATTTATAAATAGCCCTATTAACTTCCTCCTGCTTGCTGCACTTTTCTTGCCTCGAGTAACTCAGGTACTTTTTTATGACATCTGGTGGAAAATAATAGGAGATGTGTACGTATGCTGACGTCTTTTAGAGAGCTGGCAACATCTAGCTGTAATCTGAGGAATTCTTTGACCCAGGAGCCTGTTTGATCTCTGGAGAGATCTCTACAGCATTCTTCAAGTAAGAGTCTGACAATATTTGCTTACAGCTTGGAGAGGAACCTCAGACTTGGTTCAGGAAAGCAGTTTTGTGTCATGGCTAAATAGTGTAACCTCTGCTTATCTTACTGTCTGGATCTGCTTTTCTTTGTTCACCTACTATATTTTCATTGGCTCCTTCTCTTCTCTTTTGTCTTTGTTTATCCCTTCGCGGCAGGGATTATTGTTTTGCAAGAAGTAAGCTTTCTTATCCCAGCAGGTGAAGTTGTTATTCAAGACTGGGTCATGATAACTCTTTTTTCTCACAACATTAAAAAAAAAAAACTTTGTGTTTAAGTGTATTTTCTTAATAGATTTGAAAACAGATGGGAGGGATAAGTCACTGTTTCTTTATGGTAATATGTAGACCTTAGCTCAGACACATACCTGTGTATCTTACATATCTAATACGTTGTAGTTAGTTAATTATTTCCATCAGCTTCATTCCTTGGATTAAAAGAAATCATTACCATCTCTGCTGTGGTATATGTGGTATATTGACCTAGTGAACAATGGAGAATCAGGAATGAAGGTTGTTGTGCTGAACAACATTCTCTATGTATTCATGCTCTTGGTTATTAATATGTTAATAATGGGTGACTTCTTCTGTTTTCAAGCTCAAGCAGCACTAAGGAGATGTCTTCAGCTCTCTGTTTATAGAAAGATGGAATTAAACAAAAAGGATTGATGAGATTTAGAAAGAAAGCTGAAGGAGATTTGGATATTAAATAAGCTGGCAAATACTGTATCTGAATCTTGGGAGCAGGATTTATTTTTAAGCTAATATATGTCCTTTTCCCCTTAATGGAAATTCTTTTATTTCCCAGTGATAAAAGGCTTTTATTTTTAGAGGCAGTGTCTTGATGCTGCAAGCTAGCATTAAAAGTAAATCTGTGAAGGAAAGCAATCTCCATGTCAACAAGTAATATTTGTAAGAGGATTAAAAGCCCTTGAAACACATTTGAAGATGTATGGCGAGTGGGTAGGAAAATACTGCTTTATTTGTTGGTCCTACAGACTGTAGGAGAAATTTCAGCATCCCTTAAGTTTTTTTTGCTTAAATTCCTTTCTCTCAGCTCTAAAACTCACTTAGAGTCCAATGCTCATCTGTTGCAAATGAGCGTAAATGAACTCAGTGGAACTACACTTAAGAAAATCTGTCTGTTTTCCAAAGTGATGGATGGAAGCAGCTCTTGATGTCAAATCTGAGTGCTGCCTCAGTCTTCAGAAGAATGTAAGAAGAGAAATGGAGATTTTCGGCCAATTTACACCTAGTAAGGAGATAATTTAGTTCTTGTAGTAAAATAACTGCTGTAAGATTTATGGATAGATTTTTGTATAAAATTTGTGTTGTATATAAAAATCCCACAACAAAATCCTCTCTGTAAAGGAAATCAGAGATTCTGTATGAATGTAAAAACCATCAGGGCATAGAGGCTCCTGCTGGGAACATGTAACAAACACAGCTGTTAGCAACCAAAGTCTTATTTTGCTAATTTCTTCGTACCTCTGTGTGGATGTGTGTATATAATGGTAGCAGTCAGTAACTAGGCATCTTTCTGGTTTCTGATCCTTATTCCATTTTTTCATTTTCACTGCTCCTGGCTGAAAACTGTTTTCTTCTGTTCTTATAGGTAAGTGTGAAGGACTCACGCTGAGGGGCCTTGCAAGGTGTGTGAGAGTGGCTAGTGGGGACGAAAGTAAGACAAGATGAGCAACTTTGCTATTCTGCTGAACACACATTTAGCATTAAACCATCTGTTTGACTTTCTTCTGTTTTTCTGGGGGATGTTCAGCCATGTCTCTACTTAGAGCTTCTTTTATAGTTACTTTGAAAGTAGTTATGACCTTGAGCTATGGAAATCCTTTCTCATCTTTTCAACCCCCTGTGGGTTTTATCAAAGGATGGAGTTTTTCATTCTCAAATATTTTCTCTGTAAATGTGTATTTAGAAGGTAGCTTATCAACTGCTCTTCTCTCTCCCTCTCTGCTTGCAGACTAGGGGGCTGTTACTGCCTACATTCCCTTTTGTGGAGCATTGGCTGCACTTGCTTGCATTGTAGTATGCAAAAATATTCCCTATGTAAGAATGGCTTGCAGAAAGGCAGATCATTTGATTATTCTTGTAAGATTAAAAAAAACATACAAAATAAGCCTTTACTGAATTGTACCTTCTTCCTGAAAGAGCATTACATACTTGTTTGAAAGTGCTGTATCAGACTGCAGCAGAGAATTCCTACATTCTGAATCCTATATTTGGTCAAGCCAGATGGCTGACAGCAGTGGCTGCTCCAGGAATGTGCACAGGAACATCTGTGCTGTATTGGATGAATAGCCTTATACAACTAAAAGCTACCTGGAAACATGTAAAAGACATGGAGACATAATACAGTTGTGTTTGGATGTGAAATTATTTTTAAAGGAGAGAGAGCATTAACCTTAAAAACAACAACAACAACAACAACAACAAAAAAAAAACAACTTGATCATAAACCTCTATATTAGACTTGTGTTGCTTCTGATACTAGGAAGTAAGTTTGTCAATAGAACTGTTTTTGAGCGTGCTCCTATATTTCCCAAGCAGAAGGGCAGAAGCTCTGGAGTCCTACAGAAATAGGCAGCTTTGGAAGCAGCAGGCGTACTTTGATATTTGATACCTTAATGTTGCTGGGCCTAGGCTACGTTGAAGACCTAAGAGAACACCATGAGAAGTTTTTATTGTCAAGCAGAATGTTGAAAAATGCAGACTATTTATTGTTTGTTCAGTGTTTTTTTTTTTGTTGTTTTTTTTTTTTTTGTTTTGTTTTTTGTTTTAATAAAAAAAAATCTTAGTTCTGAAAGACGGTCCTCATGCACCAAGAAGTTTCACGGAGACCCACAAATCAAGTTGTAGTTTCTATGTGAAATGTGATTTTAATGCTTATACAGTCAAATTAGATGCCTTTACAGACAGAGATCTGCTTTTGGCCTTAAAGAAAAAAGCATGGGGTCTACTTTTCCAGAGCTGGCTATGGAAATGGCACAGGCTTTCTGAAAAACATCATTAGTTAACTTCAGTCCTTCAGACCTTGCCTCATAATTGTGAGAGAGATATGGGTCAAACTTACAGTCTCTGTAGGTTGGTGTTTTTGTGGGTTTTTTGCATAGAGTGCTGGAGGATGAATTGAGTTTTACATGGCACATAAATACTGTTTGATTGGGAGTGCAGGAATGCAGTACGTGCTTTAAGTCCTACCTTAGTGGAGCGGGGTTCCTTAGCTACAGGAGTGTGCAAAGCAGAAAAGAGAATGGAAATGTGAACTTCTGTTAACAGATACAGTTCTGTTGCTGCATGTATTGGAGAGCATTGCTTGCACACTGAGAAGAAGAGTGGTTTTGTATGGGGGAATACCTGCTGCAGGACAAAAGGAAGTATTTTCTTCAAGAAAACGCACTTGGTTATTTGGACAGCTTTAGTAATTACCAAAATTACGTGCTCAAAAATAAGGAACGTTTAGAGTAGAAACTAAAGTTGAGGTGAGGATTAGGTGCATATCAAATGTGATGGTGCCTTAAAGTAATATGCTGGGGGAAGGTGGAACTCTTCCTTCCCCATCCCCCTACTGTGATTACTTACATGGTGGATATTCAGTGAGTACAAAGTATGGCAATCTGAGACTACAGTCAAGTGTTTGTATATGGGTGGCATTAATTTTTCAGTTCCATTTCATTTCAGATGAACAGAAGAACCTTTTTTAAAGGGAGCATTTCAAGGAAGATTAGTGTTTAAAATATTTGGTTCAGCATAGTCAACAGGTGACATTCTTAAAGCATAATTTTTGCATATTTTAGCTAAAGACCATAGTGCTGGTCAAGAAAATGCTTTCACTCTCTCCTCTTATCCCAATAATATTGAGTTAGTTTAAGAAGAGATGTAATTTCTGTAAATGTACATTTTCATACCTTGATTAGAAGTCTAATGAGGAGCGTATGTAGGAGCATAACACCTACAAAACGTTGCCTTAGCATTATTTTTGAAGCTACCTCTTATCCAGATTAAATTCTGAGATTTGTAATAGTCTCTATTTTTAGTATAACTTATATCATAGTTTTAAAGACCTCCCTTGTCATTCCTGAAACTGCAGCAAGAGCTCTGTGTTGCTTAATGCTTCTTGACAAAGTCTGGATATGAAATTCAATAGATATTAAGTGTTATAGTTGTTATTCTCTCATCTCTCCCATACAATGGCCACTGCCTACTTCTGGCCACTTCCTGTGACCTCTGTGAGATCTTGGATGTTCCTTTCTCCTCATTTCCTGATAGTAAAAGTTTTATACACACATGATAAACAACGCTATGCAGATTCTTATGTCTGCAGCTGGTGGAAAACAGCCAATAAGTAACAGTACCTCCAGTGTGAGAGCGGCACACGAAATGCCTGCTGTTCTCTCTGGTGTGTTTAACAGCAGCAGCTCTGTTGGGCAGCATACAACACATGGTGTATCTGCTCAGAGGTGACTCTACTTAATTACTGGTGAACAGTCAGAGTCCACTAACAGCTTTAATCTTGCTGTTTTTTTAACTGGCATTGCTCAGTGACCAGCACTGAGACTTTATCTAGGCAGATAGAGCAAGTCCTTCTTTTCGTGTTTACCATCTCTGTTCTTTCTTCTGTTTGAACTTTGTTATTAAGGAATGGAAGAATGTTGCTCTAATTAAAGAAAAATAATTGCAAACAACTGTTAATTTTATTAATTCTGATTTGTGTTTGTTCTTTTAAACCTATCTGCTAACCAAGATATGCAATCATTTTCTCTATGAAGCTGCTCTTCTGTCATTTAATAGAATTAAATTAGACTTCAGCCTATTTCTAAGTAACTACAATTGTATTTGTGTTGCCACTGGGATACTCTTCATACATTCATTACTAGTTTTCATGCTTAGAAGGAGATTTTCTATTTTTCATAAGCTCTGCTTATTTTCTGTTTTGGTTGGACTTCCTT